TATTAGAAATACCGTAAACTCACGGTATATCAGTAATTACAACTTGGAATTTAATTATAACATGAATTTGGAACTTGAACTTAGAACTTTGGACTTGAGCTCTTGTTGATTTTAGAAACATTGTTGAATTATAGTCATTATGAACTAATTAAGCTTCAATTTTTAAAATCTTGAATTATTGTAGGGTTTATGAACTTTAAATTGTGAACTTTAGAAATCTTGAATTATAGAATTTATGAACTTATTAGGTTGTGAACTTTAGTAATCTTGATGAATTGCAGTCTTTATGAACTAAGTTTAAACTTTAGAGATCTTGAATTATTGTGGATTCATATATAAACTTTAGGTTGTGAACTTTAGTTCATATATAAATCCTACAATAATTCAAGATTTCTGAAGTTTAAGCGTAATTAGTTCATAATGACTACAAGTCAACAAGATTTCAAGTTCAACGTTCTAAGTTCAAGTTCTAATTAAGTTATAAGTTATAATTACAAGTTCCAATTAACTTCTAAGTTCATGACATTCAAGTTGAAATTTTCTAAGTTAAAGTACAAAATTCCAAATTTCAAGTATAATTAAATTTAAAAATACTAAAATTCAAGTATCTAAAGTTCGAGTTCATGACAACATGAAGTTCTAAATTCTAATTAGTTTTAAAGTCTAAAGTTCAAAATTTATAGGTTCAACTTCAAAAATCCTAAAATTCAAGTTCATGACATAGAATATTTAATTTCTAATTAGTTCTAAATTTCAAAAATCATATTATCCAATATTTTTCTATACTCAACCTTCAAACATCCTAAATTCAATTATTTCTAAGTTCAAAAATTCAAGTCTATCTTAGTTCTAAGTTCTAACTTCAAAACCACTTCTATTTCAACTCAATATACTCAATTCAACATCGAATTCAAAAATTTCAATTCAAACTAAAGCCCTAAAATCAAAATTATAACTTTATTCACTATTTCACAATCAAATCTACAAAGTAATTATAGTAATAACATAGATTCAACAAACTAAATAGAATAAACTAATAAATAAAAAATTAATCAATCTGGAAAAAAAAAACTAAACATAAATTTAAAACTCTTACCTTAATAAGAAGAGAGAGAGGGGCTAAGGCAGCAGAGGCAGGCACTAGCGGCACAACTAATGGCGTCCGGCGGAAGCGGAGCAGGCGGCAAGAACAACAAGGTGGTAGTGGTAGTTTAGAGAGGAGAGGAGAAGAGAGAGGGAATCAGGAAAAATGAGAAATTCGTGTCTGGTCTTCCAGATATTTTAAGAGAAGTGACGAACATCACTTTTTAAAAACATTTGACCAAACACTTTGACCGAAAGCGATGAATAAACCGATGTTGTCCGATGCTTATTTTTAAAAAATTGATAAATTAAAATTAATTAAGAACGATGGACGGCGTCATTATTAATTAATTTATAAATAATTATTTTTTAATTAAAAGCAATGGATGACGATCCTACATATATTAAATTATTAATTTTATATATATTTAAAACAAAAATCCGTCAAAAATAACGACAGACATAGTCACTGTCCGTCACTTCTAATTAAAAAGTTTTTAAGAAAATAAAAATGATGGCCAGCGTCGCAAAAGGCATCGCTCCAAAAGCAACGATTATTGGCTCCGTCATATTTTCCCTTGTTTTTAATAGTGATCTAGCTCATTTTTCAAGTTATTTTGTTTATGTGCAACTTTGGGGGCCCTTAATTAAAGATATGTATGATAATCATCCCCGCTATTTTGACTATGAGAAAGGCAATTTTCTACCATTTTTGAAAATCCTCAATTTTGTTCAGATCTTGGGGCATTATATGTCATGAGTTTAGAAAATTACTAAGCCGTTATTCACGTGCCAGAAATGAAAAATAAAGAAAATTTGTGGCTACTCAGCTAAGTTACCACACATTACTGTGAACTTTCTATATAAAGAAAATTTGTTATTACCAGGTCGGATGAAAGCTACCTTATTTTAACTCAGTTTTCTGGTATGGCTGGATACCAGAAAAACCTCCATTGCCATCAGTTATTGGCTTCTGAAAGAGCAATTAACAACACAATATAGTTATCTAAAAACATATCAACTTGACTTCCATACAAATCTAAGCTCTATAAATATCTCTGTTAGTTATCTAATTCATGAAGGATAACATTACTAACCTAAAAAGCCATAGCAGCAATTATTGCAACAAATATCTCAACCCTATGTACCACTAACTGCAAAACAACTTCAACACTTCACATTTTATGCTGACAGAGTTCCATTTGAAATATTATATGTTGAATTGAACATGAAAAAATATAAGCAACTGTTCATGGCAAGAAGCATAAAATTAATTTCAAGTCTGCAAGCCAAGCACAATCATTTACACCATTCAAAATTGCTATTGAAAGAAGAAGCCAAATTTTTATCTTGGATCTAACCACTATCACAAAAATGAAACCCGGGTTATGTGTTACCTATACTTGCTGTCTCAGAAACAAATCTGGACGATGATTCTGCTTCTTACTCCCATTTTTCTCCTTATTGTTATCCCTGATTGGCATGCGATCCTTATCAATTCAACTGTTACGATCCTGTTTCCTTGACCTATCTTTGTGTTTGTTCTTTTTATGCCTTGATGCACCTGAAGGTAACCCAATACCTGCCTATTAACAACATAAAGATAAATTACTGGGAAATTTTACGACAAGACTGCATTAGTATAGCAAACGGATCCTTGAGTTAGCATTCCCAAAACAGTAAGAGAGCACATCAAGGATTATAAGGTGGATTCTTACCGATGGAAGATCAACAGATCATGTTTCTCTGAGCCGAAAAGCATCCGTGAGTAGATCCAAGCCAAAAGGAATGCAAGTGTACACATCTGTGTCCCTCATAGGAGGAGCTTTTGGACAGCTGATCTAGTTCCATCCCTTCACCTCTCCTTATTTCTCTGTCCCCCACCACACTCCTAAGGTATTCTGTCTCAGATATAAAGGGTGGTAATGATCACTTACATAAAAAATCAAGATGTTTCCTAAGTTTATAATGGTCTAGAAGATCAACTGAACCACCAAGTCCTCTAGATCCTGAAGACACAAAACAACAGGCACACATGATGGAAATTTCAATTTCAGATTAAGAATATCCAATAGAGAGAATGTATAAGCATCCGTAAAGCAAAACTTTAGATAAAATTTTCAAGAGCATTTCATATTTTCAAATTCTGCCAATAAAAATTATCAAAAACATAACATCGAAGATAATTCAATCACTAGGAACAAGAAAAAAACAATATCACTTATGTTTGGGTGTAGGTTAAAAGTAGTTCCTCAAATATGCTCTTGAGCATTTTTGGCCCTTTAAGGTTTCCAAAAGTGAGCACTTCTAATTTGTGTCAAAAATTTAACAAACTCTTTCTATAGCACAAATTGCTTAGCAAAATCTAATAAAAATAAGCAATAATACATGTCAGAGGCAGCCTTCTTAAGACTTTCATCAACTGATCTATTTAAGATCAGAAGCATCGTGAAGCTCCAACTTTAATCTATCACTGCTTTAAACCTCACGAGCTATCCTTTTCATCATGAAGCTCTGATAGACAGTGAATATAGTAGCATGAACAATCAATATGGAGTTTTTTCTCAATCGAAAATGAGTTTTTGCACATAGGTGGTGGTACAGTTAAAGAGCTTGTTGTAGAGTTTTTCTACACTTTCAACATGTAGATAAATGATTTCAGATTAAAAAGATCACGCTAACCCAGTAACTCACAACTATGAAAGGTATTACCAGATCACACTTTAAATGTACACATATGAGTTTCCCGTTGTTCAAGGGGGAAATAGGGAGAGAGCACGGTGAAACTAAAAAAATTAAAACGTACAAGAAACATAGAGCATCCAGGACAAACCAAGATATCATGTATAGGTCCTTAACATATATTTCAAAAAAACGAAAAGATGATTACTTCAGTAAATTGGCAATAGAAATGTTTGCTAGGCGATATATGAAAAAAGAAAATAGATAAATTCCTCTATAGGTACATAAAATAATGGATCCATATGAGTGCCACTCATGCAGTATTAGATGAAAGGATCAGCCTTATATCTTAACCACAAATTAATCATTCAAAATATATTGTGACGACAAGAAAGTCACCCGATGCATAAGCTTTGATTTTGCACCAAACAAGGTTTTCTCTAAAATTCTAGTTTCCATGACCCTCGGAAACATCATCAAAACCAGAAATTCCAAGGGCTAATAAAGTTCTCAATCTTTCATTGGGAAGACCAATAAATGTCTAGATATGCTATATGGAAATAAAATGTTTCACTATATAATTAAAAGCTTACTCACCAGTTACTTGCATTTGATTTGATAAAAGTATAACATTATTGAAGCAAAGGGGAAAAAACAATCTAGGAGCAAATACTGTAAGAAGTTTAATACCTCAAAAATCCTACCACTTCTGAACTTGTTGAGATCAAGATCCATCATGACTATGCAACTAATAAACCAGATAGAAAAAAGACCTTCAAAAAGAAAACATATTAGCAACTCACACAAAGCACAACACAAGATATTGCAACAACAGACCAATTCATAGTTGTGACTCTGTCAATTCTCCATAACATTTCATCTAGTGAAATTTCCCCCAGTTTGCCTCAGGAACTACTTTCGAGAAAATTCTCTCCTCAATAAAAGATTAGCCATTTTATACAACCCAAAGTGAATACATGCACAGAATATAGCACCCAACATTGTGTGCCGTCTACTATAACCCACCCTGATAAAATTAGTAGTGTGCAACATCAACTATCCCTCGATTCCAAACAATTTAAGGTAGATAATGCATTTTCTAAATCCATTCCACTCCCCTAGGGTCCGTATCAATAAACCAACTATTCCCGTGACTTTATGGGCTATCTTTCAAGTGTGCGACTAAATCAAATGATAGAATATTCATTTCTATTCATTAATTCATCAAAAAAATTGGGATTCTTACTATGTCACATGTATATCAATAAGTATTGTTCTACAATCTCTTACCAAACATAAGAATAATTCTGTCAAACACGAGACCTGATGTATCAAACAAGGGGTATCATAAATCAATTGAAAAAAGTCAAAACTTGATTTTGGTAAATGGCTTTGAAATTTAAAACTTTTTTTTTTGCCTAAGAACGAAAAATTCAAAAACGAAATAAGGAATTAGGTTTTCTTTACTTACCGCTCGATTTGCCGGAGAGAGAGAGAATTGGGCATTCCGCTGTTGAAACGGACTTATTGCTGAATTTGAAATGACAAAAAATTAATAAAGAGAAGAGGGTTTGATATAGGTTTCATTTTTACTTAAATAATGTATTATATTTTCTTAATTATAAATTATTCAAAAATCAAAAGATTCAAAAAAAATTGTTGTTTTAAACACGTTTAACATTATATAGGGAAAATAAATTAATATTAAGGGTGTGTTTGGTACGAAGGAAAATGTTTTCCTAGAAAATAAGTGGATTTCTAACTTATTTTCTCATGTTTTGTTAGTGACTAGAAAATATTTTTTGAAAATAATTTTTAATGTTTGGTTGATGAATGAAAAAATATTTTTTAGAAAATACCTTTTATTTTTTGTTAGAGACTAGAAATTACTCTTTAGAAAAATAATTTATGATTCGAAAATTAAGCCCGATAATTGATCAAGGACCCAACCCTGTTACCTAGGCCAGGCAGTGGAACCGGGAGGTGCCGGTATCGGTACCATTCCGTCCCGGTCCGATACTGTTCCGGCAGGCTCCGATTGGTTCCGAAATAAAGGGGAACCGGGAGGGGTAACGGAACGAAAATTGAAAAATTACTGGTTAATCCTGATTCGGAAAGTGCCGGTTTAGATTCTGGGTCTGGTCCGGTTCGACAGTTTAAATTTTTTTTAATTAATTAATATTGTAGCCGTTGGGTAACGGCTATTGGGCCCCACCCAACAGCTATTTCAGCCTTTAACCCCCCAAAACATCTCCATACACCCCCTTCCCACACCCCCCAAAATAACTTTTTTAATACCCTAAAGTTTTAAAATTTACATTTTCGTCCTATTTTTTAACTATAAAATCCCCCAAACTTTCATTACTTTTACTCACAAATATTCTTCATCTTCTATTCTCTCAACTCTCAACTCTCAAGTCTCTAATCTCTAATTCTCTATTAATTTACAAATTATATTAGTTTGAAAGATTTGGTGGATAACTTGTTAGGTCTTTGGAGCAACCTTCAAGCTTCAAGATTCAACTTTCATCTATCAACTTTCATCTACTTTTTTAAGTAGACGTTTGATAAATTCGTTCCAACTTTCATCTTTATAGTCTTTACTTATTTACTTATTGATTTGTTTGCATTTAACTTTCATATTATATATAATTTACTCACTTTTCATATTTTAATATGGATTTTGGTAAAAAAAAAATATTGACAATGGTAAAAGAACTGTTATTGATGCGGAAACTAATTTATTTACTGGTAATTCTGAGAAAAATAAAAAAAATGATAGTTCTTTTAAATCTAAAACTAGACAAGTAGCACAACTAAGAATAAATACAGAAGATTTTACGCATGTCGATGAAACTGTTTTTAATATTGATAGTAATAATGAATTAGATCATTATCATGAATCTTTACAAGCAAGGTTTGATAATTTTGATGAAGAATTAGAAGAAGAAGTAGAACATGATAATGTTAATGATGATATTAATACTTTTGATGATGATGATGATTATGAAACTGAGCCAGTATATCCTAGTCAGGGTAGGCCCGCTCCCGCTCCCATTTGTTGTCCTGCTCCCCCCCCCACCCCGTATATCCTAGTCAGGGTAGGCCCAAGGTAGAACGTGCTAAAAAAATTATTGTGTGGCAATTTTTTACTCAAAGTGAAGATAAAACACAAGTTATTTGCAATAAATGTAAACATAGAATGAATCATAAAACTGTGGGAAAACAGGGTGGTACAGGACATTTGAGTAATCATTTAATGGGATGTTGTAAAAATGAATTTTTGTATGCTAAAGTTGTAGCCGGAGTTAAAAAGAATGGTATCATCCTTCCTAGTGCATCTGTAGGAGTAGGGGGCTCTAATATGATCCAATCGCAATTAAACCCTTCTAATGTTATTGGCGCTAGTACACAACGCTCATATAGTAGAGAAAAAGATCTTGAAGAATTAGCTAAAATGATTGTTGTTATGGGCTTGCCTTTTAGTTTTGCTGAAAATCTCGATTTTATTCATTATATTCAAATTGTGTATAATCCACATTTTAAAGGTTTTACAAGAAACACAATTAAAAAGGCTAATTTTGATTATCAAGCACAACATTTTAAATATCTTCGTTAAATTGTGTATAATCCACATTTTAAAGGTTTTACTAGAAATACAATTAAAAAGGCTATTTTTGATTATCAAGCTCAACATTTTCAATATCTTCGTTGTTTATTTTATTATAATACTTGTAAAATAGCTATTACTTTTGATATGGGTCGTAGTGTTAATGGTAATGATTATTTCACTATTACTGCACATTTGATTGATGAAAATTGGATTATGCAAAAAAGAATTTTAGGTTATGTATGTTGTGAAATGCATAAAACTGGTAGTTACATAACTCAAACTATTTTAGATGTTTTACAAAACTATGAAATTTGTGATAAAGTAATTAGTGTCACTCTAGATAATGCTTCTAATAATACATATGCTGTTGATATACTAAAATCGACTTTTTGCCCTATTTATATTGATGGTTTTCATATTATGTGTGCTGCACACATATATAATTTGATTGTTAGAGATGGTATAACAATGTATAATAATGGTTGCATAAAATGTGAAACTGCATGTCATTTTATTTTTAAATGTCAAGTAAAGTCTAGACGTAGAGAATTTGAAAATCGTTGTCGTGAATTTAATTCTTCACCCTAGAAAAATTCCAAAATCAGTGTGTACTAGATGAAATTCTTTATTTGAAATGCTTCAAGTTGCTTATGAATATAAGAAATCTTTACAAATGGTTTGGACTGATCATAATTCAAATATGGACTATAGAGTTGATGAAAATGATTGGAATGACGTAAAAGAATTTATAGAATTTTTAAAAGTTTTTTATTTAGCTACAAAACAATTTTTTGGACTTTATTATCCAACTATTTGCTCTGTTTTACCAAATATTTGTGTTATTTCTAGTAAATTTTATAATTCAAGAATAAACCAAGATTTGCAGATTCTCTTAAAGCATTGATTCAAAAATTTTAAAAATATTTTTTTCCTATTCCTCAAATTTATTTAACTGTTTGTTTTTTACACCCAAGTTACAAAGATGTAGATGTATCACGAATGGTTAAATATATTTAAATTTAGATATTCAAGATTTTGAAACACCTAGTTGTCAAGAAGTTAAAGATAGTATAAAAATTGAAGCTAGAAAATTGTATGACTTGTATAATTCTCGTAGAATAAATGTAGTACGTAATGAAGAACGTGAAACTTCTAGGTGTAGATATAGTGAAGAAAATATTGATGATATGCTAGAATGTTATCTTGAACTTAGTCATAACGAAAAAAATAATTTTGATGCATATATTAATCAGTGTACGGAAACTATTAAGGAATCACAAGGTTTACCTGATCTTCTAGATTGGTGGACCAATCACGGCAAAGAATTTCCAAAATTTCAACCGGTGGCTCGATATGTGTTAGCTATTCAAGCATCTTCAGTAGCTTCGTAAGACGCTTTTAGTTCATCAAGATATCAAATTGGAGAGCATAGATATTCATTAGGAGCAGACAACTTGGAGATATCAGTATTATTTAGAGATTGGATTAATGCTGAGAGAAGGAGTTATGGACGTCCAGCTTTACCTACCAAATTTGAAAATTATAGTGATGAAATGTTGGAAGATTATAGTGATGACGGCATTGATGCATTGGAGGAACTAGTCGATCAACCAATTCCAGATCATGTTACTAGAGAAATACTAAATGATTTAAGACAAAACTTGATTGATACAATGAACTATTAGTATGATAAATTCGAGGTTTAATTCAAATAGAACCCTTCCTAGAAGATGGTTATGTAGATTAGGTCCTCCTTTACTAATATTTTGTAACTCAAATTATACTATTAAATTTTTATTAATAAATATAAGCTACGCCTTAATCTTTTTTTTTTTTAATTATTGTCTTCAATTTTAATACACGTCTTTATTTTATTACATTTTCAATTTTCAAATGAGTAATGACAAAGTTGACACTTAAACTTTTAAAACTTTAAAGTTTGAAATTTAAACTTTAAAAATTTGAAATTTAAACTTTTAAAGTTTGAAATTTAAACTTGTAAAATTTAAACTTTTAAACTTTTAAAGATTGAAATTTAAACTTGTAAAATTTAAACTTTTAAACTTTTAAAGATTGAAATTTAAACTTGTAAAATTTAAACTTTTAAACTTTTAAAGATTGAAATTTAAACTTGTAAAATTTAAACTTTTAAACTTTTAAAGATTGAAATTTAAACTTGTAAAATTTAAACTTTTAAACTTTTAAAGATTGAAATTTAAACTTGTAAAATTTAAACTTTTAAACTTTTAAAGATTGAAATTTAAACTTGTAAAATTTAAACTTTTA